GGGAGCCCGATGTGGGACTCGATCCCGGGACTCCAGGATCATGACCTGAGCCGAAGGCAGTCGCCCAACCAACTGAGCCACCCAGGTGCCCCAAAATGATTCTTAATGACCAAAAAAAAAAAAAAGGGAGCAACGAAGCAGTGTGCTACATGGATGAATCACAGGATATGATGTTTGTAAGGGGACACGTAGGCTATGGGCTGTGAGCCCTGAGTGGATCTGAACCCAGCTCACTCACTTTCCTCCGCTCTTCTCCAGAAAGGGAGAACTGTGGTGGCCGAGAGGTTGATGAAAGCCTAGAGTGATGTGTTTGGGTGTGAACAGCCCCAGAGTCCCCACCACACCCTGAAGAGAACACAATGTCCAGCTGATGCAGCCGAGCTCAGCTACTGCCCCACCAGACAAATACACTGAGGCTTGGCCCGCAGCACTGGACACAGCTTAGCTACAAAACAAGTCCCTTGTGTTTCAGTGGTGTTTGAGGTTCTCCAAGCACTTTCTTCTTTCTGACCTCATTTTATGCCTCTCAAAAAGCCAGTGTGGCAGGCAAGTGGGAATTATGATTCCCTTTTGATAGATGGGGAAACTGAACCAAGGAGAGAAGAGTGGCTTCGTCAAGACATTGGCTAGACCAGAATCAGGGGCTCCTAACACACAGATCGAGGTTCTTCTCTGGAACCCCTTTATCCCAGCAGTGTGTGGGCCAGGGAGGGGGCAAAAGGGCTCTCTCAAATAAGAGCAAGAACCTTCCACCCACCAGGCTGGCCTTCAGTGCCACCCTGCAAACAGTAAGGAGGTCAGCTCACCCATCCTGGGTCAGGGTCCCAGCAAGCCCTGGAAATGCCCAGGACTCTCCTGATTTCCATGGTGGGTGCCCAGAGGCAGAAATAGCAAGTGTTCGGGTGAGAAACAGCGGAAAGTAACTCAGCATTGCCACTCTGGTCTCCAGCAAGAGAAGCAGGACCTACTGGACTTCCTTTCTGCCCCACGTCAGTGGGGGTCTTACCTGGGAGGAGTTTTCGGGCCGCCTCCTCAGCCATCCTCAGGAGAGGCCCAGAGCAGGGCCAGCCGGCCTCCACTTCCACCCCAGCCTTCTTTGACAGCAGGTGAGCAGACAGAAGTCCTCCTACCACTACAGAGAGTACAAAACACAAGTGTCAGAGTCCCAAAGACCAGTCTTACCCTTGTGTAAATTAACCCTGCATGCTCTGTTGGGTGGCTGCTGGGAAGGGGCTAGAGCCACCTAGTGAAAGAATCCCTTAGTCCCACATACTGGTACACTGTTAAGTTTACAAAGTTTTTTTTCTCTTGGTAGGTCCCCCAAACAATAGCTATCACTTGTTTTTAGTCCCTGTTGTATACCAAGCACTAGGTACTATTGTCCCCTCTTCAAGTGAAGATACTGAGGGTCAGAGAGGTAAAATGACTTGCCCTGGGTCACCGATCTAGCAAGTGGTAGGGCCAGGTCTGTCTGACTCCAAAGCCTGTGCTCATTCCACTTGGTCACTCTGTCTCCCAATCCCCTCCGAGACCTGGGCAGGGTGGGGTGGGGCGGGGGGCAGGGAAGGCAGAGTAGTTACTACTTTCATTGTATTAATTCATCTATTTGGATTTATGATATAATATTTAGGACTTATGGAAAGACATAAATGTTCTGTATCTGGAAATATGGCTAAATAGATATCCTGAATGGCCCTGTCATTGAAAAAAAAATGGTGACCTTGAGCTTCAGTTTCCCCTTTTCCTGTCAGAGGGGGAATAAGAAACAAAGGCAGAACCTACCCAAAGTGGAAAGTCTGATAAAAGATACCTCCATAAAGTTGGGATCTGAAAGAATTATATAGTCTGTATAAGGATGGATTAAAAATAAACCCTATACACCTCCCCTAGCATACAGTAAGGAAATGCCTTAGATCTTGATACCAAGTAAAGGGAAGGGGGTGGGGGGAAAAAAGCTTCCCTAAGAATTAGTAACTTCAGGCTGGTACTCACTAAGTTTTACAGCTTGAATTCACACTAACTGAGTAGTCTAGGAATACTCAAACCTTTGGCATAAAGCAGTTTTTGGGAAACAGTACCTCCAGCCAAATGGCAGAAGTAAACAAAAACTCTACCTGGAAGAACCCACCTTCAATCTAGGCCTCAAAGAAGCCCAGAGATAAAGTCTAGGGAATGAGTGTACATTAAAATCTAAATAAATCACAAAACATACAAAGAAACAAGGCATTGGGAGTACAAACCAGCAGAAATGACAAGAGAATAAGACTTACCAATACATCAAATGTTGGAATTATCAGACACAGAATACAAAATAATTATGTGGAAATGTTTAAAGAAATAAAAGAAAGGTTTGGAATAGGCAAGTAAGTAGCAAGAAATTATAAAAATGACCAAGCTTATTTACAAAAGAACCAAATGGAATTTCTAAAAGTGAAAAATATAATAATTGGAATTAAAAATTACACAGATAGGTTTAATAGCAAATAAGACATATCTGAAGCTCTCTTCAGTGGACTAGAAGACAGATTCCAAAAAATTACCCAAAATGCAACAATAAAGAGACAAAATTGTTTTTAAAATATACCAAAGAGATTTGGAGGATACAATAAGAAGGTGTAACATCTCTCTGGGTAGAGTTCTAAAAAGAGAAGAGGGAGGAAATGGGGGAGAGGCAATACTTGAAGAGAAAATAGTTATGAACTTTTGAAAACTAGTGAATGACACTGATTCTCAGATCCAGGAATCCCAAGCAAGATAATAAAAAGAAATCCACATTTATGCACATCACAGTAAACCTCAGAACACCAAAGGAAAATAAAGCTCTTAAGAGCAGAGTCCATGTAACAATGATTATTGAAATTGGATGTTGGGTACATCTATTTCATTACATTATTTTCTCTATTTTTATATATTTTTGAAAACTTCCATAACAAAACGCTTTTAAAAGGAGGGGGAAGCCAGGATAAATAAAACCGATCATCTGCAAAATAATAACAATTAGACTGACAGATTACCTCTTAACAGTGGCAATGAAATGAGAAGACAATGGAAAGATTTCTTCAGTGTGCTACGAGAAAATCCCATCAACTTAGAACCATACATTCTGCAAAATTATCCCTCAAAGACCCAACAAAGGCAGTGAGATAAAGACATTTCATATAAACAAAAGCTGAGAAAATCTGCCAAGAACACACCTGCACTAGAGGACTTTCTAAAGGAGTTGCTTCAGATAGAACGAAAGGGATCACAGATGTAAAGTCTGAGACACAGGAAGGAAAGATGGTCAAAGAAGTGGTAAATATATGAGTAAATCCAGAACCTCAACTATATAGAAGAGCAATAATGTATGGAGGGCTTAAAACAAAAAAACTAAAATACATAACTATAGCATACAGGTCAGAATAGTCTGAGAGCCAGGTTTTGTATTATTCAGGAGAATAAAGATTGTCATTAACTCTAGACTTTTGTTACGTTTGTTAAATTTTCCAGGAAAACTGTTTAAAAAGCAAGATACTGAGCATAGTTTCTACATTAGTAAAAGGAACATGGAATAAGGGGAAAAAAATATCAATCTGAAGAAGGCACAAAAAAAAAGGAGAGTGAAAAAGAACATAGAGAAGATGGGACAAATAGCACAAAATAATACCACAGAAACGAGTGCAAATACCTAAGTACTTAGAGTAAACGTAAATGGATTAAATGCTTCAGTTAAAAGAAAAGATTGTCAGGATGGATAAACAAACAAAATATGTAATTTATAAAAGATCTATCTGATCATAAAAATACGGAAAGATGGAAAGTGAAAGAGTAGAAAAAGATCCTGGTCAATGAACCCCACCAACCAAAAGAAAGCTGGTGTAATTATATTCATATCGGCAACAAAGGTGTAAGGGAATCTTAACTCACAGACGATAAATTGGACTCAGAAGCTGTGGAACACAGCAAGCAGTGAACATGGCCTCGAACTCAGGTCTGATCCCTAAACCAGGATTTTGTATCATGCTGTCCCTCTGCTCCATAATCTTCCTAAAAATGTTATCATATACCTGCAATACAAGTTTAATTGCAAAACACATACAAAATAAGGGGGGAAAATATAACTTGGCCTCCAGAAGTGACAGTTTGTTAAGCCACTGGTGGTCTAGGGGTTCACTGAAAATAAGGGTTGTACTAGCTTCATAAGAATCACTGGAAACCTGATAATAATATTGTTACTAGGACCCAACCCAGAAATCCCAATTCATTAGGTTTAGAGTGGAACCTAAACATTCAGCTTTTTTAAAGGTCCCAAGTGGTTCTGATGGACAGCCAGCTTTGGAAACTAACGCCCTAGACTTGCACTGTGTAATGCGATAATCATGAACCACATGCCACTACTTTTTTTTTTTAAGATTTATTTATTTTGGGGGGGGAGGGGCAGAGGAAGAGAGTGTCTTAAGCAGACCACGCTGAGTGTGGAGCCCGACGCCAGGCTCATCTCACGACCCTGCGATCATGACCTGAGCCGAATCCAAGAGTTGGACACTTAACCAACTGTGCCACCCAAGTGCCCCCGTATGTCACTAAATTTAAATTTGTTAAAATTAGATGAAATTAAAAATTCCATTCCTCAGTTGCAATAGACACATTTCAAATGTTCAAAAGCCATGTGTGACTAGTGGATACATCATTGGACAACACAGATACAGAATATTTCCATCATCATAGAAAGTTCTATTGGATAGCACTTCTTAGACAATAAGCTCCAAGAAGGCAAGGGTCACATCCTTCTTGTTCATGGCTGGCTGTAAGCCTAGCGCCAAATATATGTTAATAGAGGAGTCGTTCTGGCACATTTCTTTCCAGTCTTTTCTCTGTCCCCTGCTCATGTCTGAAACTGATGGGGGATCCTAAGACCTCCACACCCCACCCTCTGGGGGGAACGATCTTTGTCAGTCACTGGTTTGGGCCAAGTGCCCTGGCAGGGTTGACACTTATGATCCTATTTACCACCTCTTGGTTTACACAGAGGCAAAACTCCACAATCTCTTTTCTTCCAAAGGCCGTAGAAGGCAGCCCTCACCTCGGATGTTGGTTTCAAAGACGGAGGCATTCACATCAATATCAAAATCTATGTTGTCCTGGAGCACTTCAACCACTCTTTGGAATTCCGAGACATTCCCCAAAATCTGGAAGGGAAGAGAGACTTGACAGTGAGGCTCCCTCAGGCTTTAAGGCACTGAAGATGTTGGATCGAGAGTCTGGGATCCTATGCTGGTGTGGTCCTCGCTTATTCAACTTAAGACCTCCAGTTTCTGTTCTAGGACTGGTGACAGGAGAAGGAAACACTGAGATCTAGAAATCACCCAACACCAAGAGACTGGTTAAGTAAATTCTTAGGTACAAATTCAAGTCACTATGTACCCACTTAATGGAAACAATATAGACTATAGACCGCATTAGGAAATCCTCGTTTGACATTTGCAGTGGGTATCTGTTGTTTTCAAACTTCTCTGGTCGCCTTCATCCTCGTGGAAAACACTTCAGGTTGGTTGGTCCAACACTGATTTCCAATCTCTTTTACCCTGGTAGCCTCCCTCTATAGAGGCTGGAAATCCAGATACTTGCTTTCTCTACCTCCTTTGCTGCTAGAGGTGACTGTGTTACCTAAGCCTTGAGAAAGGGAAAGCTTCTGTTTTCCTAATAAAAAGACAGACACTGCTGGCATGCTGTTTACTCTTCTTCCTGCCTTGAGAGCAGACTTGATTTCTGGAGCTGTGGCAGCCATTTTAGACCTTGAGGTACTAAGCATGAAAATGAAAGCCAGTACACTAATGATGGTAGAATGGAAACATACAAAGAGCCTGGTCTCTGATGGCACAGTTGAATAGCCAACCCCATGCTAGAAATTACCTCCAGACTCCCTTTCACTTGAGAAAATTAAACCCTCTTCATTTAAACCGTCAGCCAAATGTGATTCTAATACTTTTTATTCTGATAGTAGTACCCTAATTCTCTCTTGAGGAATCACTCTTCTTCCACAGCCACTCCTGCAGTTTGGGAGAGGCTGACCCCATCCCCTCAGCTGTAAGAATGGGCACTTGATCTGGACCACTGTACTGTACCCCTTGGCCAGTGACTGGTTCAGGAATAAGTGTGCGGCCCAAGCCAGATCAATGAGACTCAGTTCCTGGAATTAAGGCAAAAGGGCTGATTCTTCTCATACACACTGAGTGGGAGGTCTGGAGCTACTCTTGGCTACTCTGCCAGCATAAGGAGGGCCCGAGAACACAGCCAATAAAGGAGGCAGAGCTAAGAGATGGACACTCCTGAAGACACTGTTCGTATGCCTGGATCCAGCTGAGTCTGAGGCCAGGCTTTACCTGGACTTTTTAGTTATCTGACTCAGTAAATTCCCGTCTTGTCTCTATCAGTTTGAACTGGGTCTCTGTCACTTGGAACCAGAACAATTCTGACTATCTCAGCATTCAAGGCGTTCAACGATGTGGACTCAACTTTTTTTTTTTTTTTTAAGATCTTATTTATTTATTTGAGAGAGAGAGCACGAGCAGGGGGAGCAGCAGAGAAAGAGGGAGAAGCAGACGCTCCATGGAGCAGGCAGCCTGATGCAGGGCTCGATATCAGGACCCCGAGATCATGACCTGAGCCGAAGGCAGACACTTAACCGACTGAGCCACCCAGGTGCCCCTCAACCTACCTTTCTGACCATGTTTCTCATTGTTCGTCTTCATCTAACCTATCCTCATCTACTTCAGAAAAACTGTACCCACTATGCCCCAATTTTTTGGCTTGAGACACGCTCTGCCCTCTGCCAGAATCTCTCCATCACGTGTCTTCCCATTTCCAAATCCAACCTGGCTCTGATTGTCTGAATGTCACTTCTCTAGGAAGGAAGCCTCTGATTCCTTCAGCTAAAATGAACCTCTTCATCCTTTAAAAGCTGCATTAACAGCCATCAAAAGGAATGAGATCTTGCCATCTGCAACGACGTGGATGGAACTGGAGGGTATTATGTTGAGTGAAATAAGTCAAACAGAGAAAGACATGTATCATATGATCTCACTGATATG